TGGGTTAAGAACTTGCTGATGGCCAAGCCCAGAGAATGGTGGTGAACAGTGTTGTGTCGAGTTGGCAGCCAGTCACTAGTGATGTCCTCCAGGGATCAGTGTTGGGCCCAGTCCTGTTTTATTGATGATCTGAAAGAGGGAGTAGAGTCCACCATCAGCAAATTTGCAGGTGACACAAAGTTGTGGAGGAGTGTGGAAGGGTAGGAGTGCTCTACAGAGGGGCCTCAACTGGCTGGATGGATGGGCTGACTCCAACAATGGATGGGTTCTGCACTTTGGCCACAACACCCCCTGCAGTGCTATGGGCTGGGGACAGAGTGGCTGGACAGTGGCCAAGCAGAATGGGATGTAGGGGTGCTGGTTGGCAGCTGACTGAACGTGAGCCAACAGTGTGCACAGGTGGCCAAGAAAGCCAAAGGCACCTGGCCTGTATCAGGAATAGTGTGGCCAGCAGGAGCAGGGAAGTCATTCTTCTCCTGTACTTGGCACTGGTGAGGCTCCACTGTAAATACTGTGTCCAGTTCTGAGCCCCCAATTTAGGAAGGATGTTGAGATGCTGGAGTGTGTCCAGAAAGGGGCAATGAAGCTAGTGAAGGGTAGCATAAGTCCATGAGGAGTGTCTGAGTAATCTGGTGTTGTTTAACCTAGAGGAGAGGAGGCTCAGGGAGAACCTCTACATTGCTCTCTACAACTCCCTGAAAGGAGGCTGTAGCCAAGTGAGGGTAATTTTCTTCTCCCAGCAATAGGACAAGAGGACACAGTCTTAAGTTCCTTCAGGTGACATTTAGGTTGAACATTAGGAATAATTTATTCACAGAAAGGGTGATGGGGCATTGGAATGAAGTGCCCAGGGAGGTGGTAGAGTCACAGCTCCTGGAGGTGTTTTAGGAAAGACAGGATGTGGCACTCAGTGCCATGGTCTGCTTGACACAGTTGTGTCTGGTCACAGGTTGGACTCAATTATCTCAAAGGTCTTTTCCATCCTAGTTGATTCTGTGATTTTTCCCTGCTGCCAGGCAGTAATATTTGGCATCCTGAAATGCTTTTACTTAATCTATGTATACACTCCATTTAGAAGACCATATCTAATGGGAAAAAGTTCCAACAACCAGGCAATAGATTTGTTTTCCTTTGCCTTTAAATGAAATATCAATGGATGGATATTTTATTTTTAGCTGAATATGAAATTTCACAAGCGACCTGTCAAGCTCCTGTTTTCAAGAATGACTTTATTTCACACGTCAAGACAGCCTGGGAAATTAGTTTTTCTCACAGAGGACTCTTATTAGGGATTACAAAGTGAGTGTGGCGCAGAGTGATTTTTCCTCCATCTTTTCCTTCGCCCCACCAACCTAGAGAGTGCCTGACTCTGCTGACTAAGGGGAGAAATTCATTACTATGCATGGGAGGGGGATGGGAAGAAAGATAGTCATATTAAGTAGACTTGCTGGCCCAAGAGAGAATAGGAGAAGCATAATAATACTTAGCCCTTATCATTCTTTTCATCAGTAGATATCAAAGCACTTGAAAAAGGAGGTTGATTTGAAGGAAAAAGAGATAAATTCCAATTGCAAGCAGCCTATTGCAGAGGCACCAGCAGGAAGGCTCACTTTCATGATAGTATCTTCTGACTGTGGGTCTGCAGGGTAGAGAAATGAACAGGTCCTTTCCTCTGAAAAATGCAGAAGTACATTTCAAACGTTATTGACTTACCCAGTGTAACTCTCATGGGGTTTGGCAAAATATGAGGTCCAGTCCAAGAACCAGAGAGAGCAAGGAGATTATGTATTACTAGTAAATGACAGAGCAGACAGGACCTATTGCCTTTGCCAGCAGACAACGGCTGATTCACACCATGGTTTAACTTCTCACAGAAGCAATAAATAGTCCAGATGAAGGGCTGAGGCATTTTTTACCCTATGGAAAACCTGTCCCATTCTGGGGTATTTCTATTGTTATCCAGTAGATTAGTAGAAGTTACTGGAGTATAAAGCAGTCTTGTTCTGCTGTATATGAACAGCAATATTTGGCTCCACTGTTAAAAGTCCTGCATTGGCTGATCTGATAGAGTTTACTGCCTGATTTCCTTTGGGCCACATGAAAGAGCTGCACATGAGGAACCATACACTGAAACCATCAATCCCAAGGTCAATCTTCATATTTAAGAGCAGTGCTGCATCCCTACTGGCTACACATCCTTAACTGCTTACCTGCACATCCCATTGCAGAGAACTCTTAGAAAAACCTCTTCTTTTTCTCTTCTTTCTTTGTAGTAGTGTGTAGGTCTAACTTGAATCTATTTGCCAATGGCCTTTCTGCCCTGTGTATATGATAGCAATGTTCAAAGAGGCCTGAAGTCCTGCTGCAACAGACAACCCAGGAAAACATCTCTTGGGAGGCAAGATGAGATCCCATTGGGTTTGCTGTGCAGTCACTATGACTCACATCAGGAGGGAAGAACAGGGGCAAGCATTTCATGTGGAAGTTACCCATGTTTTCATGATGTCATCTACAATAATGGCTTGGTTTCCAACAATGTTGAGGCATCAGCAAATGCCTGAAGCAGTTCTCTGGCCCTAAGATTTCCAGGGCAAATAGAGAGCGAGAGAAGAGGAGAAGGAAGAAGACACCAATATATTTACACTTCTCTGTGATGCTACCAGGAGTATCTTCAAAACCCCTTCTCCAGAGATGAATACACTCTCATCTCACTCAGTTCCAAAATCCTCCATCCTGCATTGTGCCTATCATGATTCAGGCTCTGCTCTGCAAATCACAACGGCAGCTCTGAACAGCCCAATCTGCTGTGGACCAGTGCTTCCCTCCAGTACAGCTGCAAATAGGTTTAAATCATTAGATGCAAGTTACCAAACAGTCTCTTGGATCAGGGTTAATTAAATGAGTGTTGAAATCTAATTAAGAACTGGTCCAGGTGATAATTAGCAGGAAATGTATGCATTAAAATATTCATTTGTCGGTGAGCTGCAATTAAGAGTGTGATTTGGGGAAGGATCAATATCTGCATCATGTGATCTAAAGAAAAATTAAAAGTCACCCAGTCCTCAACAGAAATGCAGAGGAATTTTGGCTACAGCTTTTGTTTTTTCTCTCTTCTACTCCACTTTCCCTGCTGTTTTGGTTTTATAATAACTACTGAAGATTGCTCTCCATCTTTGAATGAAGCATTCATCTCTGCATTCTTTTGTTTTCCTGAAGCACTTCTTTCAAAACCTTGCTCTTCATCACATTGTGTGAGAGGGTTACAGATTTATTAGAGAGAGACTAACAGGTCAAAAAGAAAGATTCTTTGCCAATGAAAATCACTTTCTACCAGTACAGATTGCTAATCCAAGGGAACATCGCTTATTGTGTGGTGTTAGATTGTTGGGGTCTTTTTTTAGCAGGTTAATTCCTCAAGTCTTTATTCAAAACTGAGGATCTGAAGTGGCTATTGAATATGCATAGCTTAGACTTATGTCTGTAGCTGTGGTTTACTACACTCTTCCCAGTTTGTAGCATAGCAATTCTGCTTTCACTGAGGCTTTTTTTTTTTTTTTTTTTTTTTTTTTTTTTTTTTTTTTTTTTTTTTTTTTTTTTTTTTTTTTTTTTTTTTTTTTTTTTTTTTTTTTTTTTNTTTTTTTTTTTTTTTTTTTTTTTTTTTTTTTTTTTTTTTTTTTTTTTTTTTACAGGTACATAGGGGCGTATGTAAGCCAGTTAATAATATCTTTCTTGTGCAATCCCAGAAAATTCCTCCTCTGCTAGGAAAACAAGGGTCCTGCAACAGTTCAGCTCCTTGGGCATGAAGCTAGTCTTGCTCTACTGTCACAGCCAGAAACTGAGCTGGTCTTTTCCCCACTGACTGTATTTCTACCAGGGAATACCAATTGTTAAAATAGAAGCTATGGGAGCACAATTATTTCAGCTGCATTCTGTCAGTGTCCTGACAGCTCACCTGCCCATCAACCCAGGCTGGGTGGCAGCCCAGATCCCATGGCAACAGTCCACTGCTGTCAGGGCTGCAGCCAGATTGTCCCTTCCCTACACCTCCTCTTTCCCTGGGGAGGCTGCCCTGTGAGGAAGCAAACAACCCATGAAATTAGGACTTCCTTGGAGAAAGACCAAAAAATACCTTCCTAGGTATATCTATTTCTTCTCATCTCTGCCCCCTATTAGAAATGTAAGGATTGCAGCTATTGACCCGTCATCTGGTTTTGGGAAGGAGAGGGATTTCTTTCATTCCCAAAAGCACTACATTTTTCACAGATTTCTTCAGGCAGCTCTGATGATCATCCATACTTCTGTGCTGGTGTTGACTGCAGACATGATCCTAATATTGTAAATCTTTCCTGGAAATGTGTGGGCTCTTTCATGATAGCCTCTATTTCCTACTGTTTGTGGAGTGGGAGCTCAGGTCCATCCAGTACTATTTTTACTCTAGTATTGCTGAAGAGATGCTGTTTCATGATGACACATACACCCTGCCCAGCATACTGACTCCTATCTCCAAGGGTGGGCAGAGATTTCTCACTGGAGTTGGGGGTTACAAGACATTGTGAAAAGGAGATCCACTTCAGGGGTCTGCAATTCAGAGACCTCACACATTCCACCAAAACAAATCAGTCTACAAATCCTACCACACTCATGCAGCAAAGCCTCCTATATTTTGCTGCACTGTGTCCAGATCTTTGTCCTCTGATTCAACATTCTGGGCCTGAAGGGTGAAAGAATAAGGCAACAACTTTTGCAGAGAAAATGTAAATGACATCCTAAAAGTTTGAATTTTGGAGGAAACTAGGAGCCAGGCTGCTGGCACTCACCCTCCAGGGTCTTTTACTTCCTGATGCTCTTGCAAAAGTCAAAATTCTCAGCCTGATAGGTTGCATGGAAAATATTAGCACCTGGATCCCATTCTACTAAATCTGTGTTAGATGTATGGATTGATGAGCTGGTGTGCATCAGGCTTATTCCCTGTGTGTCTCCTTTTGTTTTCTGTGCTGCAGGGAGCCTCTTCAAGCCTGGTGGTGAAGTTTGCAGACACGGACAAGGAGCGCACAATGAGGCGCATGCAGCAAATGGCAGGACAAATGGGCATGTTCAACCCCATGGCCATCCAGTTTGGAGCTTATGGTGCCTATGCACAGGCAGTAAGTATAGACAGCAGTTCTCTGCATGCTCATGGAAGGGGAAGTATCACCTGGAAATGCACAAAAACTCATAGGAGTGGCCAAAAAACCTGAGCAGAAAAGGAAGTGGTGGCTTATCTGTTGAACTGGTTACATGATGGGAGTAAAAATTAGCCACGCCATCCAGGGTAGACTCTGGGGATCTCCCAGGTATCTCCAAGACAGTTCTAGCAGTAACTTTTGGTCATGTGTGGACCCATGCAAAACACTTACTGTGGGTGCTAAGCCACTGTTGTCAAATGAAAGCCCAGCTACACTTTGAGGATTTGGATAAAATAAGCCTGCTGAGTTTATCCCAGTTCTCTGCCTCACATCATCAGTACCCAGCAGCACCTTGCATCGTTGTGGGACCTTTGGAGTGACCACAGGAGAAAACAGCAACTGATGAGAGAAATGCTTTTAGATTCACAAAGCATGATAGATAACAATAAATTATACACACAGACATATGCCCACACACAGTCCTGCTGCCCCAAACAGTATGATTGAAACACGCTGGAAAAAATTCCTGTTGTGCTAACTTCAGCTTTCCTGTGGACATACCAAACCTTAGAAGTGACTGTACAGGGGGCTGTGCTCTTGATGATATTATGAAATGGATTCCTCTGAAATAACTTGTTTTCCTTAGCCTAAAATTAACAAGGATCTACAAGACAAGACCAGGCTCAGGTAACTTGGACTCTCTGCCAGATATTTTGGAGGAGGGTGGAGGTGATGCCTGCAGCAGGCAGACACAATGCTTCCCAGTGACTTTAGCTGTTTTCTCTGAAGCAGATTTTCAGTCAGTGACAGTGTATATAGGGTCTTCTTCTATTTGATGACAAAATGTGGCCCCCTGCACAATTTGTGCCCAGGAGGGAAGTGCTGTTGAACACATTGTCCAGAGTAGCATCTTCCTTAATGGGAGACCCAAACCTCACCTTAGGTATGCAGGGCCAGCTCAGGAATAACACTCTGGCATGCCAACACTCCTTCCAGGGCAATAACCACAAGGTTTTCCTTTCTTCCCTGACTGTTTCTTTCTCATGTGTTGGCACCAAGTATTTCTCAACACATAACCATGTTCTGTTTTTAATTTGAAGGTCTTGACATTTCTGTTCTTCTCTGATAGCCTTGTGCCTTGCTGAACACTCAGTACAACCCAGCCTACCCCTTGTGTTAGACATGCAGAGTTGTTAGGATGTGCTGTAGAGCTCCACTGAAGTTCCTCCTCTGCTTCCAGCTGCACCTCTTGGTGCACTTCTGGAATTTTTATTCTCTCTCTTCTAGAAAAGTTCTATATTTTTTCTTCCATTTTGCAATCTTCATTTTTATTCCAGTCAAAGTCATTCTCTGACTCTTCTTTCTCCTATGCTCTCTTCCTCACTTTATAGAAGAGCTTCTTCCTCTTCAGCCTGGTTGAGTTTAACACTGCCTCTGGCCAGAGAATGCTGCAGGAAGAGGAAAAGAGACAGTAAATCCCAAATGACCCTGGGTCAGTGGCCAACAGACTCTCAGAGGGATGTAGCACCTTTGCCCCCATGTACCAGAGGAATTAACAGAAGGCAATCCATGGACAGCTTTGGACAAACATTTTCTGAGGTGGTCAGACAGGAGAAGTGGCTTCAGTGCTACTCTACAGACATTGGTCAGGCAGCTGGAGAGATGGCAAAGACACCACTGTCCTGATGTTCTGGTCCAAAAACTCTTCTTGCTTTATTTTTAATCTAGAGTAACTCTCTAATTTCCAGAGAAGGTTTATATTGATATGAGAGGATACAGTCTGCACCTTTACACCACTAAAGTTTCTTCTGTTTCTCACTAGATAATACATGTGCATTATGGGGAGAGGTAAGGAATCAGGGCAGGAGGAATTAGGGCAGGAGGAAGAGGAAAAACAATTTCTGGTTTTCTCCCATCCACTTGAAACAAATGGATATTTTTAATGTCAATTTCTGTGAAATCAGAATTGGACCCATACTCTTTTTTTTATTTTTCTGATAAAAATGCTAATAAGGGGAAAAAAATAAGTTTTAGATCTTGACCCATTGGATATGACAAGCTGGTGACACCAATTACCCTGGGGACTTCAGAGCTATCTAAATGATGGGATCACATTTCTGTGTGGCGCCTGTAGACCCAGAGTGTGCTCAGATGCTGTCTCTCAATCAGCCTTCCTATCTGCTCCATCTCACAGTCTCACATGAAAGGGAAGGAAGGGAGCGTTGACGTTCTGTGACGTTGCCTTGGTCCCGATTAATCCAGCTCGGACTGCTGGCTCTCAGATATCAGGGTGATTGGCACCTCACAAATGCCAGCAGGAGATGAAGGAATCGATAGGGGAGAGGCAAAGGGAGACAGCAGTTTTATTCAGCCTGAAGTCAAAGAGCTAAGGCAAGTCAAGAGGAGGGAAGCTGAAATATCAGGAGCAAGACTGTCACGACTGGTGATGCCACTGCCACCAGCAAATCTTGTGACATTGATTGAATTGCCTGGCCCCCAGATCTTGTTTCCTCATGTACAAATAAACCTGATGATCAGATTTATTTATTTTCTCTTCTCCCTCAGGGACACAGCTCTCTCTTGTACTGTCTCTCCATGAGCTTTCTCAGAGTGGTATGACAGTAAAATAAGTGTAAGAATTGCCTCAGTGCTTAATAGTAAAGCCAGCACAAGCATGAGACATCAGGCTCTCCGATTTGTAGTCTGTTCTCCCAGCTATCCCTCAGCAGTCTAAATCTTAATTATGTCTCTATATAAGAATTCCCAAGCAATCCCATGACAGTGGTTTTTCAATAGTTTCTAATGGTGTGTCCCCATGGAGAGGTTGCTCAGGACCCTGTTGCTGCAGTTTCTTGCTGAATTTCCCCCAGAGAAGCACCTTGTACATCACTGTGACTGGATTAGCTCCCAGAAAGTCTCAATGTACCAAGGTGATTAGTGCAGCAGAAACCCCCAAGGTGTGGCTGTTTGATAGATAAGTGGGCAGACATAGGTTTGCCAGGACAGAAGCACCACTGAGGAGAGGCAGCAAGGGTCTCACTCCATCAAAGTTTGACAGATAAACTTCAGTGTTGTCATCAGGACAGATTTGGGCCCCAGCTCCTTCGCAAGTTACCTCTCTTGCAGCCCAGCAAACTGTCATGCCACAGCTCTCCCTGCTGCTGCACACTGCTAACCCCCTCAGCCTCAACTTAAACTTTAACCTTGATAATGTCCATGGTCTCAGCCAAGCAACCAGTCCTGGGGTTCAGCAGCCATCTGACCTCAGACACAGAGGCAAAAAAATGAAGAAGCAAAAGGAGTTCTCCACTGTGTGTCTTTTTCTATCCCCTTCTCATGTGCCACCATCAAGCAGAGCAGACAAAGCTTGGCACCGACTCTGTCTGCTGTTTCAGTGGCACAGAAAGTCACATCAGATACCTCACCTCTTTTGTATGCAGCTCAAGGCAAGTCAGATTTCATAGCTTCCTAAAGCTCCCAGAGCCCCTACTCTAATTTATTTCAGGGTGAGTTTTTGATTGTTTTAAGTTTTTTCTCTTTAGCAATATCTTCCCATACTCATTTAACTTCCCCTTTTATAGAGCAATTATTTATTTTATTTCACAAGTGTACAGGGCACCAGCCCTTTTCATTGTCAGGTTACTGTGGATCTACATCAACTGGGTACTGACAGCTGTTTCTGCAGTCTAAGGCCAGGCTGAGGCATAGATCTGGACTCAGCCTGGAGAGAAGGAGAGTGATGCTATCTGGCACCACCTTTGATTTGCTGCCAGTCTAGGAAGAACCTGCAGGCACACTCTCCACTTCACAGAGCATAGCACACCTACTTAGGGTATCCAAGCCCAAAATCACAAGCAGTGACAATCAAAACAGCCTGTGAATGGTGGTAGTATAGTCCTGGCACAAATAAGCTACAGTTCCTGCAGGTCTTTCTTTGAATAAAAGGGGCAAGGAGTGTTTAGTGCCTGTCTCATGTCAGTGATGCCTCACCATGCAGAAAGGAAATGTGCACAGATCAAAAAAGGGTGAGGGAGATGGGAAAATACAGAAAAACAAAGCAAGAACAAAGGAAAGAGCCTTGGAAAGTGACAGAGTATAAATTATTTAATTTTTAAATTATTTAAGGTAAGATCAAAGTCATAAATCAAGTTTGCATAAAAAGCGGGGTGGGACTGTTAGCCACAGTCTTCTGGCCAAACTCCAGCCATGGGACTGATTGAATCCTGCAGCAGGGGATAGGCATAGAATTACTGTGTAAAAACAGACCAGCTGGGACAGAGACAACACAGGCATTGCTAACATTTGTTCTCTGGCCTGGAACAAGTCCTTTCTCAGTAAATCCCAGCTCTCTTCACTCTGTAAGGTGAAAATGGCTGCTGCTCCTGAACTGCAGACAATAACCGCAAAAAAATTTGGAATATCCAGCACAGCTGAGCTCTCAGACATTACCTTAAGTGGTCTCCTTGGAAAGTTAGGGCAGCAGTTACTACCATGCAGACCATAAAACACTGGATGCCCTATTCTGCCTCCCTGTCCTGCTTCCATGGAGATGAAAGGATATTTCTGCTAAATTATCTGAGGTAGTGCTGACAGGAAGAATTGCTTTTTCTAATATTTCTTCAATTAGTACTGTGAAATTGTTTTGGAGAGATACTTAAATAAAAATCAGCTAGCCCTATGAAATCGGGGAAAAATAGTGACTGTAGGCTGCCTTCTGGATATAGTAGTTAATATATTTAAATTACCAAAATGGGACAGTATATTTGGTAAATACTACTGGTTATGCAAATTATTTGCACTGATCCGTTCCAGAAGAGGAAGCTATTTTGAAGCCATAATAGTTTTTAGCAGGGATAATACCATATTTCTGACAACCAGCTCCTAGGTAATTCAAAACACTAAGATTTGGGCTCTAAATACAATTTTTTTAGGTCTTTTGGGGGGTTTTCCATAGTTCTCAGGAAGCTAGGAACCCAAGCTTTTTGTGTCAGACTTTGGAAAGATGCTAAGACATGAATCCAGGTGTTGCATATTTGCTTAGGGTTTTTTAATATCCTAGTTATATTTAAATTTTATTTTCAAAGCAGAAATTTCTGTTTCCAATAAAATATAAGTATGAAGGACAATTCTGATTTTTCTACTAATTATCTTCTGTTTGTTTCAAGGCTTGGAAAGTATTTTTAGATTTAACTCCCAATAGCCAGTTACATATAACAGACATGAATTTGTCAATTACAAATTTTACCAAATATGAGTTGTAATACTGTTTGATCGATTACATTACTTAGCTCTATGTATCACAGGGATACCATTAGGATTCATTATAAGTCTGTATAGATCATTAGAGGTGGGAAATGTGGGATGCTGTTACTACTTTTATTTTTATTTATTTGTTATTATTAATATTATTATTATTATTATTATTAGTAGTAGTAGTAGTAGTAGTAGTAGTAGTAGTAGTATTATTAGTATTATTATTATTATTGCTGAATGAAGAACATGAAAAGTCAAACAAAGCATTGTGTAGTTCACACACAAAGACAGAAAATAGAACTGGAGAAGGTCATCACATTTTTCAGAGTAAGACTGGAGGGCAGTGATCACACTATTTCAGAAAGAGCTCGTCAGAAATAATCTCCCTTTCTCCTCTTTCCCTTCTTCAGTTTCACACACATTTCTTTTGGGGGATGGGGAAGGCAGGCTGTGCACACTTTTCCTATTTCTAGCAAGATTTTTTTTTGCGCTAAGTTCCTTCATCCTCCATGCATTTGCTCCTCCTATAAGAACAGGACATTATCTCCTGCCCTTGAGTACCATTGCAGTTTGAAGTAGGAAAAAGATGTGTGAGACAAACCCTTTCACGTGTCTCTATTGATCATACAACACTGTCACCCCTTCCCATGCTTTAGGTGGCTTTCCCAGTGCTTCTCCACTTGTTTCTAGGACTGGGATGGTGACTGCAGGCTCCTATCTCTTGGGTGCTGCCCAGGGGCAGGAACCAGTCTGGTAGCATCTCCTGGTCTCCTCAGAAGATCAATATTTGAGCAATAGAAAAGACAACAGGAAAGAAGGAACAAATCTTTAAAATGGATGGGGAAAATCTCTAAATCCTGAGGCAAAGGTAATGCGAAGGAAGTAAGAGAAGCAAAAGGAAGTACGTCCTTTCAGCTAAGGGAGGAAAAAGCTCCTTTCTGTCCTCTTGGATCAGTCTGAGATAATAAGGCTGCTGCCTTCCTGATTAGTGCTCTGTAGCCCCAGCCCAGGCAGGGAAAATCTGCATTTCAAATGGCATATTTTAAAGTACACAATACCCAGGGGCCCTGCTGCTATTGATTTGCCTCTGGTGGGGTCACTGCCTCACTTTCTACAGCTTTATTAACTGGGACCATACACTGGGTCTCTTTCAAAGTGAAAGGAGAGTGAATGGGACATTTGTCTTCAGGGGGAGCTGGGGAAGGAGTGGGGTGACTTTCATTTGGAATGCCTTGGAGGTTTTAGAAGGAAGACTGGTGACCCTTACAGGATTTGCTGTCCTTCTGTAAATTTCCCTAGAGACATCCTGGGGGGGAAGCAGGTAGGTCTTATGCAGTCAGCTTCTTTCAAGGTGACTGAGTTCCTGTCCTCCCACCCTCGTGGTGTCACTGCACTCAGCCAAGCTCAGATCATCAGCCAAAGGGCTGGATAGGAGCCCCCTCTTCTTCCCCCTAACCTTTGCCCCTGAGCACCTCCAAATAGAGTAGCATAGGCACAAATGGGATCTGTGACCTCAGAAGTTTGGCAGGAAATTTGTCATGGGTTGAAACATCCAGACATTCCTGGGCCTTGGTTGAGGCCAAGGAAGCAAAACCATCACCCAGGGTACACAGCTGTGCTGAGGTGTGGAATGCTCTACTCCTTCCAGCTCCAGGCAACCTGACTTTTACCCTGTTGACTGAGTCTGAAGGCTGCAGAGAGGTCTGTGTCCTCTGGGTCATGATGTGAAGGGCTCATTTCAACATGCCAGAGGGGTTCCCAGGTTTCTAAGACATCTCAGAGAGTACATCCACAGAGCACTGAGTATAATAGATACTGGATGACTGCTCTCTGCAGGAGCACCTCTGCTTTTGTGGCAGAAGCACCTGATCTAGTATCCCACATCACAGGCTGGGACCTTATTTTTACCGCATCAAATAATGAAAATGGGTAAGAAAGTGCTAGAGGCTATAAAATTATTTATTAAAAATCTACAAAGCTACAAATATATTAAAAATTCATTTAAAAACCAAATCAAAAAATCTTTAGGCATCACCCAGGTAAAAATATCCCGAACAGAAAATGAGATGTGAATCAGCACACCCGGTGCTGGAATCAATCCGGATGGATGGATGGATGGATGGATGGATGGATGGATGGATGGATGGATGGATGGATGGATGGATGGATGGATGGATGGAGGGATGGATGGATGGATGGATGGATNGATGGATGGATGGATGGATGGATGGATGGATGGATGGATGGATGGATGGATGGATGGATGGAGGGATGGATGGATGGATGGATGGATGGATGGATTCCCCTTCCTCCTTTACCTCCTTGGCATACTTTCTAATATTGCCTGCTCAGTACCTCTTCTGGAGAATAAACTCAAACCATGCCCAGGAACAAATGTACTCCTTAAAGGAGAATCAACATAGTGTATAATATGAAAGATTGTCTAATCACTCCATCAGTAATTGCAAAGAGCTAAATATCACTAATTAAAATGTTAAAGTACCTTGTTCAGGGTAAAATAAAATAGGATAATTAACCACCAAAGGGAAAGCCATCACTTTGTCACCAATCTTTATTAGGCTTCAAAAAAAAAAATGACTCAACTCCTGTACAACACATTTCATCTATAGATCTAACAATGTGTGGAGTCAGGTATCCTGTGTTACATTTTATTGCTGGAGAAATCAAGGCCAGTTTACTCAACTTGTGCATAGTAATTCAGCTGGTTGTTGTCAGAGCACCCCTTACTTTGGACTGGATGGTGACAAGGAAAGTTTCAGTATTTGAATGACTGCAGTGATTTCACAGGTTTGTTTTAGTGTAAATGTGTAAGAACAGTTAATTTAGCTGATATTTCAATATTAAAGCGAGCAGAAGGGAACAGTCTGTTCCTTGCCATGGTTTCTGAGGTCTGTTTAATTCTGAGAAGCATGTCCCATGTGCTTAAATAACAGCATCAGAGAGTGATTTCCTGATGGGAGAGAGAGTGAAATCAGAGAGAGCAGTGAAACAGAGTTACTCCAATTTTAGAGACAGCAAAGACATGAGTCATTTCTAAAATCACCACAGAAAAACACTTCTCTTTCCCACTATTATCATCAAGTCACAGATTACCAGAGGCTGGGGAACGTGCAGAGTGAGGTTTCCCAAACTTTCTGCACACTTCTTTCCCTCATACCTTCTCTTAGCACCCAGAACTTGTCACTGCTGAGGGCTGGGTACTCAGATATTCCTGCCCTGTCTGGCTCTTCATACAGCACCAGGGAAGGAGACAAGAAGCAGCTTCAACCAAACTGTTTTATTCTTCACACCAGGACCATTTTAAAATCTCTCTCCAGACATACTGTACACATGAACTGCACCAGCTTTGTGCTGGTCTCTGAGTGTAACATAATGATAACAAAGCATTGTTTTAATTAAAGAAGCATTTCCAGGATTCATAAACATTCACCAGCACTCTGCTCCAAAATTTTTAGTCACAAATTCTTGTAAATGCAGCCTGGGTTCCTTATTTTTGACTTTTGTTGGTGCCCTGACAGAAGCAGCATTTTAACTTTCTAGAAAAAATTAACTGAGAAGGTCAACCCAGATCAAAACCACAGGGAAGGGGTTTTCTTATTAGACAGATGTAATCTTGCTAAAACAAGGAGCTCCCTTCTCTTGTACAGCACTTCTGGGGGTCTCTGATAGTGTGAAATCAGAGCTATGATCTGATTAGAAGTTTTGGTCACAGTTTTGCTCAGTACCCAGCTGAAGCCTCCTAGCAGCACCAGAAAAAGTAATTTTTGTCACTGAAAGGTGGAAAAAATAACAGATTATCCCTAGAGAACTTGTACAAATTCCTGCTTTGGAGAAAGAATTCCTTTCTCCTACATACACTGGTCTCCCACCAGTAACCTCCATGCTTTTCCAAAATTTTGATTTGAGCAATGTAAGCTACAAAGCCGCTCTGCTCAGGTGTACTGTGTTTTGTCTGTATGAAGACTTTTCTCTGTCTTTCTGACCAGAGAAGTACCAAGGAGCTGGTGGGCTGAGTCCAGATCACAAAAGACCTCCACACTAGGGAACACACGGCGGGGTGGGGACCATAATGACCCCAAATTGCAGAGATGCCCTTTGCTACCAGCCCCTGTAGTGAGAATGACCAAGCCTGGGGAGGAGCACAGGGGTGCCCCAAAACATCAGGACACATCCCACCCTCACCAGGTGCTCTCCTGGTGCTGGTGCCACAGGCTGCCCCGCCAGTGACCGCATGATATTTTTTCCCTGTTCTCTTTGTTCCAGCTGATGCAGCAGCAAGCGGCGATCATGGCGTCGGTGGCGCAGGGCGGATACCTGAACCCCATGGCCGCCTTCGCCGCGGCCCAGATGCAGCAGATGGCGGCTCTGAACATGAACGGCCTGGCAGCCGCCCCCATGACTCCAACCTCAGGTAAGGGGATGGCGGGCTGGAGAGGGCAAAGGGCAGGGAAATCAGGCCACATCCCACAGGACACATGGCCTGATTTGTTGACTCTTTAGCCAGGTGAGGATCAGGCTCTGCTCCCATGTAACAAGTGAAAGGACCAGAGGAAATAGGCACCAGGAGAGAAACTCCCCTGAGCTCTAGAAAAAGTTTCTTTCCCAAAATGGTTGTCAAACATTGTAACAGACTGCAATGAACCAGTGTCCCTCCCTGGAATTATTTAAAAGACATGTAGATGAGGAACTTAGGGACATGGCTTAATGTCAGGCTTGGCACTGCTGTGTTAATGGCTGAACTCAATGATCTTAGAGGTCTTTGAGAACATTAACTGTTCTGTGCTTCTATGACTTTTCTCAGTCTAATCCCATACACAACTTCTCTTTAGCTCTAAGAGCTCTCCAAATATCACAAAACATGCCACAGTGACCTACACTGGTTTATTGGGGCATATATGTGTCCAAGGGGTCAGTGCTGGTGCTATTGCAGCCAGGCTGTCCCAAAGATTAGCAAAATAGAGTTGTGGTGAGATGGAATATCATTAACAAGATTAATTTTTTCCTTGGGACACATAAGCATTTCCCCCTGTTGTGAAATTGGACAGAAGGTACTCAAGGAAGGCATCTAGTGCTACCTGGAATAAGGATGTTTCCAGCTACAGGAACAGAGACAGGTAACCAGTGAAGGGCTTACAGGATCTGGTTAGACTGTAAAAAGCCCATTCTAGGAGTTGCAGTATATGGTTCAGCAGGCAGAGAAATAAGCTGAGACAGGAACAGGACTGTCTTTCTTGGGGCTTGAAGAACAAAGGTACCACTTGGGCAGGAACAGGTCAAGGAATCATGAGCTCTGGTAGTCCTGGACTAACACATGGCCTAGCATCAGGGAGTTAGGGAAGCAGGAAAAGTGGGGCCAAATCTTGAAAGAAGTGAGGATTTGGGAAGGTTTTCAATATACTAGAGTCTGGTAGGGAGGCCCAGGACTCAAAGGCACATCTCGAAAGGACCATTTTTAATAGAATATCACGAGGGAATGGGGAGAGAAGGAAGAGCAAGAAAGACAGATCTCATTCCACAAGACTTTGTGGAGACCCAAGGAAAAGTACTTGACTCCAAAATCTTATACTGCACATTTCAAAATATATGTTTACACAATGATAAATGTATAAACAAAAAGTCAATGGAGCTACTGCAAATCCAAATAAAAAAGTGGCTTAATTATATGTGCACCCTTTAAACCTACTGCTGGCAAGATTATCATATTTGCATTAGCTAGATTTGTTTTGTGTTGGTGGGAGCAGAGAGAACATCAAACAAAGACTGCCTGGAATTCAAATATTGTCAGGGTTTGGAAAGCTGAATCCAGGCAGTAGTCTGCAATGGACCCACCACAAAGGAGCACAAGCTCTTTTGAATATAGTATATTCAAGTATATTCTTGAAAAGAGTGCGTTCTATGTCATAGGCGTGGAAACAGCTGTACAACAACCAAGTTCTGTGCCCACCAGGATATCCAGCATATTAAAAACATCCCAGCTCTTTTTTGGTGTAATCATTTCTTCTTCTGCTATGACCAGTGCCTTTCAGAGTCATAGAATCATGTAATTTAGGTTGTAAAGACCTTTACGATCATCAAGGCTAACCATTAACCCAGCACTATCAAGCCCACCACTAAACTGTATCCTTCAACACCACATCCCTGTGTCTTTAAAATATATCCAGGGATGGAAACTCCACCATTTTCCTGGGCATTTCACATTTCCATTTCCCTGGGCAGCCTATTCCAGTGTTTGACTGAATGAGAGAACTGTTAAACTCTCACTGTCAGAACAGAGGAGAGGAAACTTATGTTTTTTACATGCTTTCTGGATTACCCATGACTGGTCATTATTGAAAATAAGATGCTGGTTTAGATGATCCCTTGATGTCTTTCACGGCAGCCGATTTTGAACTCTCCTAATGACATATTTTCAATCACAGAGCCTATTCACTTGGGCATTATTTCAGATTTACCTTGAATGAGTAGCTTCCTTCATGAAAAACCTCTGTGGTAGGTTGTGGAAATGTCCATTGACAATTATTCCTTAGAAGAAATGTTTAGACTTTGAAATTACTCCTTGTATTACTACAACACTCACAAAGCATGTGATAAGATGCATAGAAAATGTTTCACATAATGTCTGAGCAAGCAAGCCTACAACTCTAGCAGCAATTTCTGAGTAGCCAGGAGATATCTGAAGCCTAACATTAATTCTCCTGCTGGCTTTTGTTAGCATTCAGAAAGCCAAATGGAAAATGATCATTCTGCTTCATAGCAGGATTTCTAGTCATTGAAGTATATTTTTTTCTGCCTTGGAAGGAAAATGAAATATTTCAAAGTTCTTGGAAAAAAAAAAAAAGCAGGCACTAGAAAAAGTGTTTGGAACATTGGGGAAAAAATAGAAAGGAAGTGTTTTGATCTTCCTGTAGGAAAAGAAAAATTGTGCTAGGAAAAAGGTTCTGGTAACCCAGAAGTCCTAGAGGCTTAGGAGGAATTGGTTCAGCGCAGTGCCTCTCTGTTGGTCTCCTCTGTGTCCCACCTCTAGGAGAGTGGATTCCTGGGAATACGACCGTAAATTCAATCCCACGGGACCTAGGGGATCAGAGTTTTGCATCCAAGCAAATCTAATAGATGAGCAACAGTATCCATCTCACCTGGCTTTAACCATACAAAATTTAGACATCTCTTTTGAACTGCAGTCAGTGCAATACGCACTCTCTATGGGTATTTCAGACCAAGAGAATTTTAATGCTGTTTGCTGTCATTTTAACAGTCTTCCGTAATGGGTCAGGTTTATCTCACACAACATTTCATAATTGTGAGGCAAGTAATTTGACATTTCTGAGAGCTTGGTCCAGGTTTTACATTTCTCCCATCACTGCGACAATCTGGGTGAAAAGTGGGTCTGGCAGTGGGTCTGCTACTCTGTTACCTGCAGAGAGGGGCTAGAAATTAAATTTTATATAGGCTTTCTTCCTTCTTCCTCCTTTCCCTGCCTCCCTCCTTCCCTCCCTCTCTCTCTCTGCTTCTTGTAAATCTGCAACTGATGTGGCTACAGCAAGAGACCTCAAACAAGGGATGAAATCCACAACTGGCGTGCACCACCACCGTTTGTTTTCCATCGTGGCATTATGCCAGTTTTACTCCAGCTACAGATCTGACCTCTCCAGGGGGGGTGGGTGTTTCTAATAAGAAAATTGAAGAATTCCAATAAATATGCCTAAACTTCCTTAGACATGCACAAAATAGCAAACAGAAATCCCTTGCTGCAATTAAAAAAAAAAATTATTTACATTTTCTATGCAAATAAAGGAGAGATCCAGAAAAGCAACTGAAATTTTAAGTAGCCTTTGTGATTTGGAAGCTGATGGCATATGCTAAGAGCATTGCCTTTGGACTTCAGTTGCTACTGCTGGCTCCCTGTACCTCCACAGAGGACATTTTTAAAGGCCAACACCATTTAAATAAGAAAAGGAGAAGCAGCAGCTTGTCTGCTTAGGGTATAAGAAATGAGCTGAAGTACTGCCTAATTTTTTTTTTGGGCTACACAAATCTGAACATATTAAAATATCTCATGCAACTGTAGCAGCTTTCTTAAAGCACCAACACGGATTTAAGCAGTAATTAAAGGGTGTTGTTGAACTAACCCATCATGGAATGCTGCAATGGTGAAGAAAATGTCTGCAATTGGTTTAAAAGAGAGGTTACTGCAAAATATTGTGCTTTCAACCAGTAGTATACCCTGACGCAGAAAGATGGTGTTGAAGATAACGTAGTTTAATTTCCCATGCACACCCAGCAAGAGAAAAATATGATTTCAGGCTCATTGCAAATTCATTTGTGGTCCCTGAAATCATCCTGAACATGTTGCAAGAAGACTAGACTGTCCAGTCATTTTACACATACATAGGAGTAAGATAGGGAGCAGATGGATTTAATTCTCTCCCAGAAATTTAAGAAATCTCTACCAGTGGGTGACAAGATCCCACTCAGAACATAAAGACGAATTTGTTCTTCTGAAATAGCAGCATTACAGTCTCCCACAGGATGCATCTGGGAAGAAGGGAAGAATAAGATTCCTTTAAAGGAGCAAATTTAGTCCAAATTTTGCCCTTGTTCACTGGGAGATATCTGTTAAAAGAATATGAAGTAAAGTTTGGACCAAACAGTAACATTAAAAAATGTATCACTGGCTACCTTTAGGCTACAAATAAACTTGACAAGTCTTTTAAGGATCCCTAGTGCTGTGAAAGTTCAGAATGAGTTTGCACATGAAAGATGTATTCATGAGAGAGTGCAGACACACCAGTCCTGGAAATCAGTACACCCACAGAGATCCAAAGAGAATCAGATAGGAACTGCTGTAGAAAGATGGGATTGAGAAGTTTTGGAGGTTTTTCAAGCTTGTCTTGAGCGCTTTCTGAACAGGGGACCAACTGCAAGCAGTCCATTTATTTGCTCAACAGCTTGGGATCTCATTTCTCTGGTGGTTTTTTTGTTTTGGTTTTTTTTTAAGGTAGTGGTCACAGCTGTTGTGTCAGCAGTTTTCTCCATGAAGTTGTCTCCAGTACTCACCAGCTCTGCCCTTGTGTCCTCCTCAATTTCAGGTGGAAGCACGCCTCCTGGTATAACTGCACCAGCTGTGCCTAGCATCCCATCTCCAATTGGGGTGAATGGTTTCACTGGCCTCCCACCGCAGGCTAATGGGCAGCCAGCCGCTGAAGCCGTGTTTGCTAATGGCATTCACCCTTACCCAGGTAAGCCAGACTAATACTGTGCCCACAGCCTGTTGTCCCAATCCTAGGAATACTAGGACAAAACCCAACAAAAGCCTGTGGCATATGTTCAGAAGGGTTATACCCCAGACCATCAGGGCTTATTATAGCACTGGTGTATTGTGTCTTATGCAGCTACGCTGTTAAACGATTCAATCTGGATGATAAACATCAAGGGCATGTTGGAGGTGGAAAAACTGTGTCCTGAATATTTGAGTGCTCACCTGCTGGATAGCATGTTTGGTGAATACAGTCAGAATAACCAACATGTTTTGCTTCATCTGAAAATTGACCTAGACTCCTGAGCAGTTCATGCTGGCAGATCCCTTTGCAGTACTCCCAAGGGTCTTGCTTCTAGTTAGCCTTGAAGGAACTGTGCTAAGCCTGTTTGCACCCAGCACTGATATCTCCTGCTGGAACTCCCCTGCAGCCAGATGGCTCTGGGAGGGTAATCCAAAGGGTCCACATGCCCTCTGACCCAAGCGATTTCCTGTGTGCAGCGAGTAGGTGTTGACATCCGAAATGCCCACTTCACACAAATCCTGCTGCCTTACCAGGCCTGGAGAGTGAAGCTGCATTAATATAGCCTCTGAATGGGCTCAGGGTCACCCTTTGGTGGCACATTTCTGGAGAACTGCTGCTGGGATTCACACTGTGCCTAGCTCGAAGATGCCAGCACTACAGAAGTGATTTTGCAAGCACTGGCAGTCAGCGATGAATGAGGGAGGTTAAAGGATCCATACCTGCCCCTATACCTGTATTTACAAATATACATACAGTCTAAATCTGTAATTACCAATTACCATTTCTTAATGTGCACCTACACTTTTTCAGCATTCTTAAGACTTGAGATAGCTCTCTCCTCCAATACTCTTCCTCTAGAAAGTAATTTTATACCATTCCTGTACACATAGTAATGGTAAAAATCATAGCAATAAAAATCTAAGTAAATGTTACTAATTGATCCTAATCACCAGCTTGCAAAGGAATATTTTACCCTGGGGAACAGATAGATTGATCCAGTCTGTTAGGAAATCAAATACTGAGTTCAATGTTCCAGCCGAAAAGCCCTAAAAAACTCTAAGAAAAAATAATTCTTTCAATCTTAGCCAGTCCTGAAAACTCAGAAGATTTATCATCCTAGGGAACTTCATGAGCTACAAGGAAAAATACCATATAGTATAGAAATACCAAAGTCTTACCTAGGTATTGACAAATAATTATCCTCCTCCCAACAAACACTTTGCAAACATGGGCTTTGAGTTCAACTCTAAGCAGAATTAAAATCAAAGGACTTACTGTACTGAAAATTAGGCATATATATATATATATATATATGTTGTAGCAATATAAAGATAGGTGAGACTTTGGAGTCACCAGAAGACTGCAGAGAGCTCTTAAGTATGTTCAGTGAGTTCAACCACAACACTGAGAAAGCATTCTGTCTTTAAGGTTATATAAACATGGCCATCTGTTCTTCTCTCCATTTATTTCAGTTTGCCTGTTTGCCAGTCAATCATTTCTCTGTTTATTCATCCACTTCTATGTATGTCTGTCCTTTTTTCCTGGTTTATTTAGATCCTTTTGGCAAATTTCAATGATCCGTTACTGTGGGTACAGAGAAAAGATGTTCTTTCTAGGTGAATCTTAATGTCTTGAGCTTTTGTTACTATCCCAAACTATCTCCATAATTAAAGAATATCTCAGGTATTTCATCCACGGTTATATAAAAGTCAATGGCCTTAATCTGATTCTCTCTGAGTTTCGGAGAGACTTGCTCAGGCAACAATTCACAGTAAGTCCCTGCATAAACACCAACAGGCTGACACACAGAAAGGTGACAGTCATCCTGCCCCTCTTTGCTGCAGGCAGAGAGACTCCCTTCTGCCAGTAGAGCAGACATCCAAACAGTCTGAGCTGTGTAAAATTTGGATTTATCTCAGGGTGACTTCAGCAATATATTTGTCTTTCTCGTTGCTCAGCTTCCCCATAATGTGGTGACACCTTAAGTTATACCAGAGGTGTAAAGGGAACAGTGGCAGGTCAAGCACCCTCCTCTCATTATGCTTTTGTCTGTCCCTGAAATGCTGAAAGCAAGTCCACGTAGCTTACATGATACGTTTGCTCCATCTAATTGTGTTCCTTCTCATGAGCATTTATGCACTCTCCAAACCTGTCCTCCTTGCCACAGGCTTTATTCAGTCCTGGAGCTTAGCAGCATGAAAAATAAAAGGATTATACATTTATATGGGTAATGAGAACATCCACAGCCATATTAGACTGGATAAAAAAGTAGATAGGAGACAAAACTTCATGTTTTATGATATAAGCCAGGCACTAATTGCTTGAGGTTAGAAAGAAATTTTCATCACTGGGCAGCTTGTTCCATCATTATGGGATTTTTCTCACTCTCCTCTATTGCATCACTTACTGCCCTGTGGTTCTGCATGGCTCTGTCCCTAAATGCAAGGGTTGAAATAAAATATTACAGCTGAGCAGGCAATTGTACTAACAATATAGAGAAGGGAAGATCATGACAGTCCCCATCCAAAGCCAGCATCTTCCAAACAACTTTCTTTTATGGTGTATCTCTCATTCTGAAAGTGGCTAAGACTGCTGTTATATTATGTACATAATCATAGCCTTGGTATGATTATGACTTGCCATATATTGCTTAAATCCTGAATATTGCTTTCAGATACTCCTTCATACTCCACAAAAAAACCTCAAATGTGGGTTCACACCATTACAGCCTGTAGCAGAATGTTCTTTGTTGCCTGAAAATAGCAAAACAGGACAATGAATGACTCTAGAGGCATGACATCCATATCATTCAGACCCTAATAAATTCCATTAATTTTGCAGTTTATCTACAGGTTCACCTTTCTGACCAGTCGTACTATTTTTGATGCTGCATCCAAAGGACTCCAGAATACCACAGTTTTTATAAAACAGATTATGTTTTGTATTTAGTCTGTAATTCTGCTCTTTTTTCTTCTGTCTTCCCCTGTGCTCTTTTTTCATGATTCCCTGTGACTGGAGAAGGGATGTACATGGTGTCATTTCAGTCAGATTACTAAACCATCCATGCTTTTGTGGCAAAGGCCAGAATACTTTGAACATCCCTACTCACCAGGGCTTTGATCACAGTCCCTGTCCCTGCAGGAATTAGCTTTCTCTGTTAATCTGGTCAGCCTATGGATCTATGCATGGCACTAAAAAACCATTCCTAGCAGTCATAACCTTTGCAAGCCAAGGTCTCACTTTCTCCAAGATCAGACAGTACATAATGCCTCAGTGCACTTTTTGCCACAGAGTGAATAACAAGGCAATAAGTATTCCCTCTTCCACTAGTCTGAGCCGCTTTGGCGATTTGACCTTTTTGTGTATTAATTCCTGCCCTTTAATCTTTCAGTTTGCAGACCTATTGAACGTGGCAATGTGTCACAATATATAGTGGGGACAAAGAGCATAATCTATTGTGCCATGATCTTGTGAGTCACTTTGCAGCAGCACAAGAGCGTTTGCCATTTCCACATTAGTCACAGTAGCAGGGATTGCACTCTTCTGCCAAAGCTTCTTAGCCACCCAGAGCCCAGAGCCTCCCTTGTAACCATGTGTGATGTACAGTAACAGTAGACACCACCTGCACTGGCTTCTGCTGTGTCTCACATCATCAGAATTCTGCTCTCTGCTAGACAAAATTCTCACTCCAAAGATAAAACCTCTTTGGTAAGAGAAGGGGACAGAAAGATGAGAAAATTGGGAGACCAAAGGGTAGCAAACAAGAGAGTGAAGGGAGTGGCTGTCAAAGAATCAGTGAAACGAGAGAACTGGAAGAAGGAACAAAGCAGAGCTCCCAGAAAATTTAAGACTGGTCCATAATCTTCTGTCCAGTGATGTGCTCAGAAAGAAGGGAAAATATACCACATAGCATCTCACACCCTCTTACTGCTCCTGGGCCAAAGGATGTCCAACTTCGCCAGAGCCAGGGATGGCCCAGGAGTTTGGCAACTTTGTGGAGCCGTAGATGGGGAATACTTTAATGAGTGATGAGTTCTTCAGCTTCCTCACAAGGGAAAGCAGAGAGGTAGGCAATGATCTCTGGTAACCAATAACAGAACCTGAGGGAGTGGTCTGAAGTTGTGTCAGAGGAAATTAAATTTGTGTATCAGCAAAAAGTTCTTCACCCAGAGGATGGCTGGGCATTGTAACAGACTCCCTAAGAAAGTAGTCCTAGCACCAAGCCTGACAGGTTCAAGAAGCATTTGGACAATGCTCTCAGGCACATGGTGTGACTCTTGGGGTTCCTCTGTGCAGGATTTTGATGATCCTTATGGATCCCTTCCTAATCAGGATATTCTATGATTCAGACTAAGTGCATTTTTTCTGGATTTAGGTTGCTGAGGAAAAAAAGCTAAGTCCCCTCAATTCCTTGTTATCCATTAAAAGTTTGTCACCTCATTTATTATTTTCAGGCACAGAGTGGTTCTGTTTCTGACTGTTCACCACTTCCAGGTCTGGCTCTATCTTTCCACTCTGCAGACCTAGCACAAGTTTCTCCACCACCACTCCCATTTAGCACACAGTACATCTGGGCTAGCAAGACAGCAATCTCCACTTCATATCCTGTTCAGGGTCCAGCCCTCTCTGTTGAGGACTGGCTGTCAGTACAAACAGGCAGCCAAGCTTTTATGCCCACATTTTTCCAAGTCACCACTGAGACAGGAAATAAAGGTGTGCCTCACAGGGGAATTCCTGTTCTGTAGCAGCTCATGACTTTGTAACTGAACCAAGACCATCAACGCATTTCCCTTGGCTCAACAAAGAGATATTAGGAACCAATTTCACCCACTGCCAGCAGAGACAGCATTCAGACTCCATCTGTAATTATTATCATTACCTGAGGTAATTTTTCCGTTTGTCATTTAACAGTGCTGCTGATGGACAGGCTCCTGCTCCAGACCAGTGAGTCCAGTGGT